TCCTGCTTAAAAGCCTGCTTCTTGGTATTCCTTGCAAGTTGCATGTTCCAGCCCTAAAAGCTGTGACTTTCCTAGAGTAGGTTCTGACTGTATTGTCAGTGAGAGTGCTGCTACTTTCCGTTACTTCTTTGCTCACTAAGTACATTCGAGTTCCCTTCTTAGAAGCTCTGTGCATGCTAGCTTCCAGCCTTTCTGCTGTGTTCACACACAGGGCATGCAGAATTGGATCCCACGGGTGCCTTGTGGAACTCTCCAACATAGCTACCCTCTCTCTCTAACTTCAGGGTGAGTTCAAAACAGATCCACAGCAGGTTTTCAGTACTGGTGAGGCAATAAGCAATTTCTATTCCACGCTCAAGGAAAACACAGCTATAAATTAATGTGTTTTTTTTCATATTTGGTTTTACAAATGTATGCAAGTGTTAATGCAAATTAAATTAATCCTTCATGTTTCAGGCAAGTTCCCACTGCATGCCTCAATATTTCATAGTTTGTACAGCTTTAGTTTACATGTTAGATAATGCACGTGACACTCTCAGACAGTGCTGAAAATTACATCAACAAGGCTCCTTGGACTAAACTTGGCTTCCTGCCCTTCTGGGCCACGTATTATGTTGCTGACAGTGAGTGTTTATTCACTTAGATGTTTTAAGTATTTAAACGTCTAAATTTAACAACAAAACCTTCCCTACAATGAAAGAGTCCTATCTCTCTGCTTTCTTTGAACTTAGTGAAGCCCAGTGGAATTGGCTCTTTCTTCAGATCCATGACTGGATTTGCCTGATTTAGCTTCTCCCTCAAGGGAGAAATGAATTAGTAAGTAGAAAAACATCATTGTCCTCCATCAGCAATATCATGCTGAAAATGTAAATATGAAATTTCCAGGCACAATCACTGTGAGTCCAGTCTGTACTAAGGCTAGTGATGTAACAAATACAGATGAGTAAATTAGTGACCACCTAGGACTCCATGATTTCAACTAGGCTGCATACCGTGGCTGCTCAGAAATGCATGCCACAACAGCAGCATGAATAGAGAGCCCAGATCCTCCTGCTCCAAAAATGCAGGTGGTTCTTGCCATGTGAATTAAAAAGAGAATCTCCATCAGCTACCAGCAATGTGGGGCTTATGACATTTAGCTGTTTGATTCTGATTCTAGCCAATAGAGGAGCAGTAGTTGCCCCGAAAGGAAGAATCCCAATTAGTTGCCTCTTGTGGTTATGCTTGGTCAACTGGGTGCCTGCCCCGTCTGGAAATGCAAGTGCCCAAACCTGCTTTGTTACCTTTATAAATTAAGGTTCCTCTTCAAATGCCACTCCCTATATATATTTCCCTTGTGGGTACTCATGTCTGGCAGTTCTAACAAGAAGTGTCCATTGGCCTGTACTTGCCCAGTACTTCAACCTCATGCTCCAGTCCAAAGGGATAAGAGCCAGCGTGGGCCATCACAAGCTCCATTTCTTTCTTAGCACTACAAGGCCTGCGTCAAAGTCCCTATGTCCACAGACTTCTTCAGCTTTTATTCTTTTATGATAAGTAAATTTCATCCACAGCCCCAATGCACTGGGCAGGCAACACATCCAACCCCCACTCCCTGTGGGAAGTACAGTGGCCTGGGGGAGGGGCCACAATAGGCTGTTTGGGGATGCTCAGCCCTCCCCTGCCTACAGTATGCGATGCCCATTCTAGTCTATCAATACTGTATTAACTCATAAATGAGCCAGACAGATTCCAGGTAGGTGCCCTGACATGAGCTGGTGACTAGTCTGCTGACATCACAGCATGTACTTAAGGAGAGATTTTCAGCTTATATAAATAAGCTAAAGTGTTGTATAAGCATACATATTGGAGCACTAGAGGAGTTTCTGTAATCCCATAGTATAAGAGTCCTCCAAATAGGCCAGAACTAGAGCTAATACTTGTTCTGTATAGAAAGGAGTATTCACGAACACATCTGCATACACACATTTTATCTTATGTTTCATGCTAGAATGAATTAAGGATGTTAAATATCGATTTTGACTAGTCGATAGAGCGATTCCGCCTTTGAAGTGTAGCAACAGCCCTATGGCTGTTGCTACACTTCAAAGGCAAAAGCGCCGTGTGGAGCCTGGGATCAGCTGGGGCCTCCAACTGATCCTGGGCTCCATGTGGCACTGCTGCTTTGAAATACCGCGTGCAGCCTGACGCTGGGCTCCCCGCAGCATTTCAAAGCAGCAGCGCTTCATGGAGCCCGGGGTTAGCGGGGGAGTCACAGCTGATTCTGGGCTCCATGCAGCGCTGCCACTTTGAAATGCTGCGTGCAGCCTGGGGACACCCCAGATGGCCCCGGTCTGCACGCGGTGTTTCAAAGCGCCGCGTGGAGCCTGGGATCTGGCCCCAGGCTTCAAGCAGTGCTGCCTCTTTGAAGTACCTTCTACCCCGTCCCCCCATGCTGCCTCTTCCCCAGAGGAAGTTTGAAACTGTCTGGAAATGGGGGATTTGACTTGGTTCTCATGGAAATCCCTAAACCAGCTCAGGCTTGTTTGAAAGTTCTATGAATCAATGTTTAGCAGGGTGGATCCTGCGTGTCCGTGGCTACGTTGTATGTTTTCACTCCAGGCATTTAAAAGCTCCACAAAGTGGTTACTGATTTGTTACAGCCAAATTAATCAGGGATGAGCACAAGGCTGCCACCTGTCCATGTCTGGGCAATGTCTCCTCCTCACCTTAAGTCCAGTCTTCCGGGATGAGTGTGCAGGGACTTTTCCTCTGAGGCAGGCACAGGCTATATGGCCAAAACGATCGAACTGGCAGTGATCAATGAGATCTTCAACCCTCTCCAGGCCAATTCTCAGTAATACATCCCTAGTAGAGATAAAAATCAAACCATCACACATGCCCAGCAGTCGCTGTTCACAATGCATGCCTCCAGTCTCCTGCTGTCTTGTTTAAGCAACTGCACTAGAGCGTGATGGTAGCTGTGAGTCTGGCCCAAGGCACATTTAAGTCAAGCAGAACAGCTTCAACGATAAGAGAGCAGCAAGCCCAGGGCTATGACCGGGCAGGGATAGGTACAGGCTCCAGGGTAGCCTCAAACCCACACCTGCTACAGTCCAAGCCCACAGCCAGACCTCTGGATTACAGAGGAAACAGCTCCTGGCCTAGCCAACATTTAATTAAAACAGCTTTCACAGACAGGGAAGCCCTACATTGCCCATGGCACATGCAGCACAACTGCATTTGAAACCCCTCCAAAGCCCTTCTTAAGGCTAGCAGAGGGAGGATTCTAACCCACAGTATCACTAAGCAAGGTAAATAGTCTTTTCACTGGCCTACAAAGTGCAGAGCTGCTGCTGCTGGAAAGCTCCAGAGGTCCCCAGGCTCCAGCACCATAACCCAGGCATGTAAATGGGCTGCAGCACATCCCTCTTCCCACATACCCTTTTCAGGGAGCAGAAAGGGGATTTGACCTGATAACTCCCCATACACCACTGGCCTAGAGAAGGAGCCTCAGACACCACAGACAAAATTAAGATGGCATGAATGGCCAGAATGGGTCAGACCAATGATCCTGCTAGCCTAGTTGCCCGTTTTCTGACAGTGGCCGATGTCAGACGCTTCAAAGGCAATGGAGAGAAGAGGCAATTATCAAGGGATCCATCTTCTGTTGGCCACTCCCAGTAGCTGGCAGGCTGAGGTATAGGGATGCCTGGAGCACAGGACTGTATCCTTGGCTGTCTTGGCTAAGAGCCCTTGGTGGAGCCATTCTCTGTGCAATTGCTCAGGTTTTATTGAAGCCGCTTCTAGGGTTGCCTCCATGACATTGACTAGCAAGGGGCCACATGCTGACTGTGCCTTTTATAAAGACATACCAACTTTGGTTTGGCTTAAATCTGCTGCCTGTTCATGTCCTCAGGTCAGCCTGACTTTTGTGTTATGGGAAGGGGTGAATAACACGTCCTTAGTCACCTCTCCACATGGCTTACAGAGCTCTAGCCTATCCCGCTTTTGTAATGGCTGAAGGGGGAGCCGGGCCTCCCTATCCTGCAGTCACAGGTGAAGGTCCTTAGCCACTAGGCTAACAGTTACATGGTAGGCCCCAGCCTCCTTTCCCTGCTTACCTCAGTTGTTTGATGGGGCATTCACAGGTACCTTATGAGAAATGATTTTAGCATCTAAGTGGTTTCCAGCCAGTGATTGTAAGCAAAGGTCGGTAGCTGGGAGGGGTAGATGCTGGTTCAGTTTCCTTCTCCCTGCCTAGGGCTCTGCATTTTCTCACGTGTGAGTCCCAGTCAGGGACGTAAGGGATAGGCTAAGGTGGGCTGCACCTTGTAGCAGCTTGAGGCTGTTCCGTTGTTGTTAAGGAGTAATTAGGTACCGTCTAATAGCTGAATCTGCTTGTAGCCCTGTGGGCTGGCTGCTTACCCTGCTGTGTGGGTGAAGTGAGTTCAACTCCTTCCTCAGCTTCCTGAGAAGGGACTTGAGCAGCTGTCTCTGAAGTGACTGTCCAGCTGCTGGACTAAGAGGTGGTCTCAGTGTTTGCTGCTTCATCCTGTTCTACTGCAGTTGTTCCACTTTCGTCCCACATTCATAGAACCATAGAGCTGGAAGAGACCTCAGAAGGTCATCAAGTCCAGCCCCCTGCTCTAGGCAGGACCAATCCCAACTAAATCAACTCGGCCAGGGCTTTGTCAAGCCGAGACTTAAACACCTCTAGGGATGGAGACTTCACTACTTCCCTAGGTAACCCATTCCAGTGATTCATCACCCTCCTAGTGAAATAGTTTTTCCTGATATTCATGAGGGGCAGCAGGCTAGCAAGTAGCCGTGTGGAGCCTACCAGTTGTGGTGTGTGCTTAGCATGTGTTAGCTTGGGGTTCAAATCCCCCTTTATGCTTGCTGAGAAGGAATTTGAACCTTGGTCTCTTGCCTCTCCAGTGACTGGCCTAAGTGTTGGGCTCGGTGCTATTCTGACCTGTGGCCTTCCTTGCTCTTCTCTGCTGAAGCTGCTCCACTTTCAGTTTTGGCCCATTCATTGGGCCAGAGTTCCAGCAAACAGCTCTTTGTAGCTTATGGGTTGGGTGTCTGCCCAGCAGCTGAGAGGTTGGCTTCACATCCCCTGCTTGCTTGTTGACTCTTCTCTCTCAAGTGACTGGGCTAAGAGCTGGCCTGTCAGCTGGGAGGTGCTGGCTCCTTCAACCTCTTCTGTTCACAGCTGGCCACAGTCAGTAAATGAGAATTGGGCCACATAACCCTTTTGACTCTCTCTGTATTCCTGTGCTTTGGGTCCTGGCCTTAGAGGCAAGGAGGTGTGGGTTAAAGTCCCCTTTCTGATTGTTGAGAAATGAGAGGCAGTGAGCTGTTACTGTCAAGTGTTCCACTTGAACTATATATTAACCAGGGCACAGGAAGCTTCCAAAGCCCATGGAGGTTAGGTTGCCTATCTACAGGGTGTGTCCCTAGATCATATCCCTACTCTGACAGGCAGGAAGGCCTCTGGTGTGTGAGAGCACAGCCCGGCTTACAGAGCTCTAGCCTATCCCGCTTTTGTAATGGCTGAAGGGGGAGCCGGGCCTCCCTATCCTGCAGTCACAGGTGAAGGTCCTTAGCCACTAGGCTAACAGTTACATGGTAGGCCCCAGCCTCCTTTCCCTGCTTACCTCAGTTGTTTGATGGGGCATTCACAGGTACCTTATGAGAAATGATTTTAGCATCTAAGTGGTTTCCAGCCAGTGATTGTAAGCAAAGGTCGGTAGCTGGGAGGGGTAGATGCTGGTTCAGTTTCCTTCTCCCTGCCTAGGGCTCTGCATTTTCTCACGTGTGAGTCCCAGTCAGGGACGTAAGGGATAGGCTAAGGTGGGCTGCACCTTGTAGCAGCTTGAGGCTGTTCCGTTGTTGTTAAGGAGTAATTAGGTACCGTCTAATAGCTGAATCTGCTTGTAGCCCTGTGGGCTGGCTGCTTACCCTGCTGTGTGGGTGAAGTGAGTTCAACTCCTTCCTCAGCTTCCTGAGAAGGGACTTGAGCAGCTGTCTCTGAAGTGACTGTCCAGCTGCTGGACTAAGAGGTGGTCTCAGTGTTTGCTGCTTCATCCTGTTCTACTGCAGTTGTTCCACTTTCGTCCCACATTCATAGAACCATAGAGCTGGAAGAGACCTCAGAAGGTCATCAAGTCCAGCCCCCTGCTCTAGGCAGGACCAATCCCAACTAAATCAACTCGGCCAGGGCTTTGTCAAGCCGAGACTTAAACACCTCTAGGGATGGAGACTTCACTACTTCCCTAGGTAACCCATTCCAGTGATTCATCACCCTCCTAGTGAAATAGTTTTTCCTGATATTCATGAGGGGCAGCAGGCTAGCAAGTAGCCGTGTGGAGCCTACCAGTTGTGGTGTGTGCTTAGCATGTGTTAGCTTGGGGTTCAAATCCCCCTTTATGCTTGCTGAGAAGGAATTTGAACCTTGGTCTCTTGCCTCTCCAGTGACTGGCCTAAGTGTTGGGCTCGGTGCTATTCTGACCTGTGGCCTTCCTTGCTCTTCTCTGCTGAAGCTGCTCCACTTTCAGTTTTGGCCCATTCATTGGGCCAGAGTTCCAGCAAACAGCTCTTTGTAGCTTATGGGTTGGGTGTCTGCCCAGCAGCTGAGAGGTTGGCTTCACATCCCCTGCTTGCTTGTTGACTCTTCTCTCTCAAGTGACTGGGCTAAGAGCTGGCCTGTCAGCTGGGAGGTGCTGGCTCCTTCAACCTCTTCTGTTCACAGCTGGCCACAGTCAGTAAATGAGAATTGGGCCACATAACCCTTTTGACTCTCTCTGTATTCCTGTGCTTTGGGTCCTGGCCTTAGAGGCAAGGAGGTGTGGGTTAAAGTCCCCTTTCTGATTGTTGAGAAATGAGAGGCAGTGAGCTGTTACTGTCAAGTGTTCCACTTGAACTATATATTAACCAGGGCACAGGAAGCTTCCAAAGCCCATGGAGGTTAGGTTGCCTATCTACAGGGTGTGTCCCTAGATCATATCCCTACTCTGACAGGCAGGAAGGCCTCTGGTGTGTGAGAGCACAGCCCATGTAGCTGATCAAGAGGCCATTTGCAGCATTTTTTTTTAAATTAAAGAGTAATTGCTACTGCTGGGCAGTAAAACCCCCCACTCACTCTTGTCCACCGTGATCAGGATACAGGCCCAGGTTGTGGCAGACCTGAGGGCATTCCTCTACTCTTCTGAGGGGTGTGAACTGGGGGCTCCCACCTCCTTAGGAGAATCACTGGTGAGCCATCCCTGTCTGAGTCCCTTCCACATCCCAAGACGACAGCAGCCTCTTGAGAAAAAAGGGGGTTGGACAAGGATGTTCCACTTCAAAGGACAATCACCTAGGGGGCAGGAAATCCCTGTGCAAACCCCTGCAGAATAGGAAGCTGGGGGGAGGGATTTGCAGCCCAGTATCCCAGGCCTGCACAACTCAGAAAGCAGCGAGGCCATATTACTCCAAAGAAAACAGCTGCGGGCCGCAAGTAGGGATCTTTCCCCCCCAAAAAAACCCGAATACATGGGCTAAAAGTTTTTGTCAAGCAAAAAAAAAACAAAACAAAACAAAAAACCCACGCATCTCCACTTGTCCCCCTGGCATTTGTCTCTCCTGCACCCCGCTCCTTGGTGCCATCCCATTTCTCCTGACCCCTCCCCTCAGCACAAGCCCCTTCCCCTCCCCTACCTGACTTCTGCCTTCTAGTTTGCGGGGCTGCCGGAGCCTTTTTGAATCCGGCGGTCGCTGGCCATGATGTCACAATGCCACATCATACCAGTGTCCTGGCGTCTGCCGGCGTCCAGCCCTCTGGCTCGCTCCCCACCTCTTTGCACTGGAGCTACACCCCCCCCTCCTCTGCCCGGCCAGCGGATCGGATGGAGCCGCACCACCCGTACTCAGCATGGGCCATACAGTGAGCCCCTGCGGGCCACATGCAGCCCTCGGGCCATATATTGTGCAGGCCTGCAGTATCCTAACCCCTGGATAGAAAGCCAGGGTCACAGTGGGTGAAGCTGCTACTTGGGGAAGCAAGCTCCTCAGCCTGTGATTAAACAAAGGTGGGTGGACACAGCAGTGGGGACTGCAGTAATTCAAGTATTATCCCCACTGCAGCCTGAGTACTGCTTGTCAATCACCCCATGTGGAATACACTGAGGCTATGTCTACACTGGCCCCTCTTCCGGAAGGGGCATGTAAATTTCACGAGTCGTCGTAGGGAAATCCGCGGGGGATTTAAATATCCCCCGCGGCATTTAAATAAAAATGTCCGCCGCTTTTTTCCGGCTTTTAAAAAAGCCGGAAAAGAGCGTCTAGACTGGCCCCGATCCTCCGGAAAAAGCGCCCTTTTCCGGAGGCTCTTATTCCTACTTTGAAGGGAAAGTTGTGCCTGACCAATCTGATTAGCTTCTGTGATGAGGTAACTGGCTTTGTGGACATGGGAAAGTCTGTGGATGTGATATACCTTGACTTTAGCAAAGCTTTTGATACAATTTCCCACAATATTCTTGTCAGCAAGTTAAGGAAGTATGGATTGGATAAATGGACTATAAAGTGGATAGAAAACTGGCTATATTGTTGGGCCCAATGGGTAGTGATCAACGGCTCGATGTTAGGATGGTGGTTGGTTTCTAGCGGAGTGCCCCAAGTATCGGTTCTAGGGCAGGTTTTGTTCAACATCTTTATTAATGACCTGGATAAGGGGGATGGATTGCACCCTCAGCAAGTTTGCAGATGACACTAAGCTAGGGGGAGAGGTAGATACCCTGGAGGGAAGGGATAGGGTCCTGAGTGACCTAGAAAGATTAGCGGATTGGGCCAAAATAAATCTGAGGTTTAACAAGGACAAGTGCAGAGTCCTGCACTTGGGACTGATGAATCCCAAGCATAGTTACAGGCTGGGGACCAACTGGCTAAGCAGCAGTTCTGCAGAAAAGGACCTGAGGATTACAGTGGATGAGAAGCTGGATGAGAGTCAACAGTGGGCCCTTGTCGCCAAGAAGGCGAATGGAATATTAGGTTACATTAGGAGGAGCATTGCCAGCAGAATTAGAGAAGTGATTATTCCCCTTTATTCGGCACTGGTGAGGCCACATCTGGAGTATTGCATCCAATTCTGGGCCCCCCATTACAGAAAGGATGTGGACGCATTGGAAAGGGTCCAGGGGAGGGAAACCAAAATGATTAGGGGGCTGGAGCACATGACCTATGAGGGGAGGCTGAGGGAGTTGGGCTTATTTAGTCTGCAGAAGAGAAGAGTGAGGGGGGATTTGAGAGGAGCCTTCAACTATGTTAAGGGAGGTTCCAAAGAGGCTGGAGAAAGGCTGTTCTCAGTAGTGATGGATGGCAGAACGAGGAGCAATGGTCTCAGGTTACAGTGGGGGAGGTCTAGATTAGACCTAGGAGGGTGGGGAAACACTGGGATGGGTTGCCTAGGGAGGTGGTGGAATCTCCATTCCTAGAGGTTCTTGACAGAGCTCTGGCTGGGATGATTTAGTTGGGTTAGTCCTGCTTTGGGCAGGGGGTTGGACTCGATGACCTGCTGAGGTCTCTTCCAGCCCTGGGATTCTAGGGAAGAAAGGCAGTTGTGACTATTGGGTCTACAAAGGGTACCCCTCGTGTGGGCTCAAATGTAGAAAGTACGTGAATGTTAACAAAAGGTTACAGTAACCATGGAAAATAGGTCACGTTTTTTACGACGTTGAATGTTGTAATAAACGCAAGAAAACCAGACAAAGAAGATGGATTAGCAAAAACCAAAAAGGACACACTGATATAAATCAAGGACTGCTGAAATTGTGCTGGGGGAACACAGCAGATGGGGAACCAGAAATCAACAGACCAAAACAGGTGTGATGGATATTACTAATTAGAGGACGAAATAATGAGGGTGAACTTAACTGCTGACGTTTTCCTTTTTGGGAGTCTCTTAAAGAAGGGCCAAGATCAGGTCACTTCAGCTCTGCCTCACATCCCTCATCTAACCAGCTCCTCCCCCGACCTGCTGGCCCTGCAACTCACCTCGGCTCACCTAAAGGACAGGCTTGTTATAGAAAATTGTTTTCACCTGTCAATACAAAAGTCATTCGCCCCCCCGGCCCAGCCGGCGGATCAGATGGGGCTGCGCCGCACAGTGAGCCCCTGCGGGCCGCGTGCGCTCCTCGGGCCATATATTGTGCAGGCCTGCAGTATCCTAACCCCTGGATAGAAAGCCAGGGTCACAGTGGGTGAAGCTGCTACTTGGGGAAGCAAGCTCCTCAGCCTGTGATTAAACAAAGGTGGGTGGACACAGCAGTGGGGACTGCAGTAATTCAAGTATTATCCCCACTGCAGCCTGAGTACTGCTTGTCAATCACCCCATGTGGAATACACTGAGGCTATGTCTACACTGGCCCCTCTTCCGGAAGGGGCATGTAAATTTCACGAGTCGTCGTAGGGAAATCCGCGGGGGATTTAAATATCCCCCGCGGCATTTAAATAAAAATGTCCGCC